TGCGTGCAAGTGCTGTCTTTAAGATTTTTTCCTAGTCCTCTCCCATTGTTTTTGATTTGATATTTATTTTCCTTGTCTTTAACATGCATCGTGCTTCACAAAAAGTTTTTTTTGTTAGGTAAAAAAAATTAAAGTAATAAATTATATTATATTATTTTATTTTACCAAAAAACAGAAAAAAGAGCCAACCCTTCGGTTTCGGTTACCCTCCGTCGTTTGGTTCAGCTTTTGTGACTACAGCTAAAATATTTCTTCCCTTTGTGTGGAAGAATGAACCTCATTTTATTGAGTGGTGATTTCTTTTTTAGTTGCAATTCTAAAAGAGCCATTGAAGCATCATTGTTTTTAAGCAGCTTGAAAAGCATGCAACAGAAGTCTTTGTATAGTAAAACAAGATAAAGATATGTATGGTTTTCAATTTTTTTAGATGATTCTTAAATTTTTACTTACCTTTTACTTTCTAAGATATATAAAAAGAAAAACAAATATATGTTTAATATAAAATAAAAAACCTAATATTATTTTGATCGTTACTAATTACCAAACACATTAATTGAATTGGTTAAGAATGTGTGTTAACCTTAATTTTGTTTTTTATTTATTTAAAAATGTTAAAATTAAATGTTAACACTAAATTAAAGATTCAATAATTTATCAATAAATTACATACTATTGAAACTATCAATTAAAAAAAGATTGATATCATAAATAATTCATAAATTGTATTTAAATATTTATTATAGTATTTAAATTTTAAAATTTTTTAATATGATACTTGAAATATAAATTTATTAAATAATATGATAATTATTTTTAATGTGGTTCGTTTTACATGATAATACATGAAAAATAAATAACCCTTAAAGTATAATAGTAATTAATAGATTTATAATTTAAATATTATATTAAAAATTTTAAAATTTAATATTATATTAAATATTTTATTATAATTTAAAAATGATTCACGACAATAATCATTAAAAAATAATACTTTACTTTTCAATCATAATACACCTCTTAGAAAAGTCTTAGGATGACGGTTGTTACTAAATCAATTGAAGTTACTTTTACATCAAAATTAAGATTATGCTAATTTAAAAATCGAAGGAGAATAAACAAATAACAAGCAATTTCCAAGAAGAGTCATCAATTACAAACACGAAATGGGCTTTGGTCACGGACATAGTAACATTAAATTCACTGATATAGTAACATTAAATTATGTACATAAAGAATTTCACCAGCAAGTTATATAGTATTAAAATTGGAATTTATTGGCAATAGGGCCAAGTTGGGTTTGGTCATACGGATAATGGATCCCACTTATTTTTCATAAGAATTTATAATTTCAGGGAGTAACACAGAACATAATATTAGACGACTTTTAATAGAGAGGCAGACGAAAGAAGTGGCCTTCGCCCGCTTGCCCTTGCCTGGAGCCTATGATAGTGGGCTTATCTTTCTTCACTTTAAGCCTCCTCCCCTACGTGCTATCTAGACCTTGGGCCACTAATGCTGAAATGTACTAAGATGCCGCGTTTCTCTTTTTATATATATATATATATATATATATATATACGGTAAAGTGGGTAAATTTTGACATGGTAACTATTGAGTCATTTTTTATTATTACAAAAAATTGACATTATAGCATAACTTGAGTTTAGTTTTCTGTTTTATTAAGTAAAAAAGATAAATAAAAAATAAAAAATATTGAAAGAAAGAAAATAATTTGATACATAATATACTTTTGATATTAAATTGATAAAACAAAAAAATTTATTAAATATATAAAAATGAAAAATAATAAAAAAAACACATAATATACTCTTAATATCAATTGAGTTTTATTAAAAAATTTTAAATCTTCAAAATAAGAAAAAAAGAAAGAAAAAAAGTTTTAAATGCAGTGGGTTTCACTTTTAAAAATAAATTTTAAAAAATATATTTATTAAATATTAAAATGATTTGACAAAAAAATACAAAAAAGTAAAAAAAAAAGGGAAAAAAAAACTACCATGTGACACCCATTTGATCATGTAATGTTCATCTGGACATGACCAAAATTTATAAATAAATAAATAAATTAAAAATAATAAAAAATAATAGAAAATCAAAGAGAAATAATAAATAACAAAAATATCTATCAAACAGATTACAAATGTTACAAGTATGGCCCATGAGATCTTATTTCATTGATAAAGGATTTTGAAGCTTTTAGTTTTCAAATTCAAATTTTTTTATGTATGAGTTTCATCTCATTGACATTTATATGTTTAATTTTTTTTATTTGGCTTTTTCTAAATTTATTTATATCATCTAATTATGATAGGGCTATTTGTGTAGCTATGTAATGAATATTTGAAATTAATGAAAGTTTGTCTTGATCTTGCCGGACAAAAGACAATTAATTTTATTTTTTTATAAAGAATTTAATTTATTTTTATATGAACTTGATCCATGTAACACATGTTACACGAGTTTACATTGGACATTAAATTTCCATAGTATGCCATAAAAATCCTTAATTTTTTTTAAATTTTGAAATATACTTGTCATAGTTTTTTTTTTGGTAATAAAAAATTATAAATAAATTTAATAAAATAAAAATATATATTTTTAATTTTGTATTAATAAAATTATAATATATAATTTTTATATAAAATATGATGTAAATATATATTTTTAATATTTTAAATAATATAAATAGACAAATTATCATAAATGTATCAGATTTTTAAGAGTGGCAAAGGCATGTGGTTTGTAATCTGCCACACCATGTGAGGCACAAGGACAAAGGCCAGCAGATCAAGGAATTGCTTACTTGACTGCACATGATTTTTCTGCCCCACAATGCCCAAAATGACTTGCTCAATAAATTTTCCTCTTGATTGATCTAGTGGGTGGTTCAATACTTCATCGCTGAATAAACAGAGGGAGGGTCCCATTTTGCACTGGAATTCTTTTGATTTGTTCTTAGATTCTTGATAACGATGACAATGAAAGTTTGATCGATCTGCTTCCTGTGAAGTTTGTCCTCCCAATCAATAAGCAATACATTCCTGAAAAGACCATGATATTCGATTTAGGAAATTTGAAGTCTCAACTCTAAACCATTAAAAATGATGGTATTCAACAATTTGTCGAAATTTTCTTGGATTTTACTCATTTTCCTTGTCTTGGCTCTTGAGAATTGAGATGATTTCCTCCTTATTATACATACAAACACTGACTCGTCTCATGTCTCTCAATGAGTCCCCTTATACTTTTAGTCTTGATAAAAATAAAAAGTAGGGCCCTATGAAACTTAAAAGCATACTGGATAACTGCTCAATCCCACATTGGTGGGAAACAAAAACAAAGACTCCAAGTGTAATAATATAAACTAACGCGAAGAACCTCTCCAAAGTACGGAGCCGTGCGGTGAACACAGAGCGAACTATTCTTTCGCCTTTTACTAAAGAATACCGTGTGTTCGCCGCTAATAGCGGCATACGCTAATTTTTGGAGGGATCATCCTTACGGGTGATTCCCTACAATTCTAGTCTAAAGCTTCAGTTAAAATATAAAAAAAGAAATCGGTTTTTATACAAAATCCTAATTTTGAGGAAAGATCTGTTTATTTGTACTTAAAATTTTAGTTGATTCGTAAGGAATCTGGGGTGTTGTAACCAGGGAAATTTTTGGTAAATCAATTTTAGAAGATTTTGAAGCAGGTAAAGATTAAAGAATAAATTTTTTAGTTAGGAAATTGGTTAGCTAAGCTATGAGCTAATCAGCATCTTTCCCTTTTCACTTACAAAACCAATATGCATTAAAAAAGAAAGAAGTAACTAAGGAACACTTTACAAATTTAAATAAAAAGTAAATAGCTCATTTGTTGAATTCCCACATTGATGAAATAAGCCTTTCTAGTTGATATCTGAGTAATTTTTTCTGTTGCTTTTAAACATCTTCTCTCTTGTATTACCAAACTGTCATCCATTAACACAACGCAAACAAATGATTCAGTCGAATCAGCCATTGCATTATCAGAATTGATGTTGTATATTTGCAATTATTAATCATTAATTTTGTTAGATAAAGAGCAATTCAAACATTTGATTCAATATTAGTGCATGATCCGCCTTGCTCAAAAAGCAAGATCCGAAATTTCCGATCCTTCTAATAAAAAAAATCAAAGGGCTAGTTGGAGCAGTGAATTAAAAAGGTCCATAGCAACTGACCCACTTGACCCAACCCAACCCAACCCAACTTCCACTACCTAACGGCTAGTCTCATTTTAAATCAAGAACCCGAATCGGACCAACCCTAACTTTTTCGAAACCTAACGCCGTCAAGCCTCCGTCTCTGAGATTTTAAATTCCCACGACCGCCTCTCTCCCTCTCTTAACGGCTCTTTTTGAACCCCCTCTGTCATTTCTTTTTCTTTCTTCCTTTTTTTCTTCTCCTTTTCTCTTGGTAATCTTGAAATTTCGAGAACCAGAAAATTTCCAAAGAAAAAGAAACTTGCACAGAAATCCCCTGGGATGACTAATCTATGATCGGAAAACCGGGTACTTTTCTGGGTCTTTCTTCTCTTATCGTTATTTTTCCGTTTGTTTACCGAGAAACTCCAAGAAACCACCGATTAACCTCCCACAAAAGTAAAAAGAAAAGAGCTAAGAAAGGTCAAAATGTAGGCGAAAACTGATAACTAATTTGTTGTTGCATTCTGAATTTTTCTTTAAAAATATTTTTCAATTTTGTGGTATGTGGCAGTAGGGTTTTAGTTATTTGATATTTATCAATTTTAATGTTTCATTTGTTTGTTTAATTAGATCTTGTGTTTGCTGTCCTCCATTTGTTTTCCCAGAAAAACAAAGAAAATATCAAAACCACATTACGTCTTGATTTTTTTCTTTACAAAAGAAATTACAAATACAATTCAGTTTAAAGCACTGAGGGTTTTATTATTTCAATGGAATTCTGATGGATAATACTATTCATATGCTTTTTTTTTCTTAATATTTTATCGATAATAACTACAGCTACATTTTCACTTAAACTTGTTAGCTTAATGATTTGTGCTTTGCTTCCGAAAAGGTGTAATTTGAGAATTTATTTCAGGACAAAAGGGCAATGCAGAAAGTTTATGAAGAGTTGGATGAAGTCAAAGTTGAGAATGAGAAGCTAAGGGCAGATTTCAAAAGCAAAGCTGCATTATGTGAGCACTTGAAGGAAGTCCAGAATGAGCAGGTAAGAAAGATCCAAGAAGCGAGTTTGAGAATCGAGAAGCAGGCTCAAGAACTTCTTGTAAAAGAAGAAGAAATCTCATTGGTGAAGCAAGCTAATGAAGATCTTAACGCCAGTCTAAATGAAAAAGAATCCATTATCAAGCATTTGAATGCTGCTAATGATAAGCTGAGAGACGAGCGTGACGAGGAGAATCAGAAATGGAAGCAGGAAAATAGAAGGTTGGTATGGGCTTTATATGAGGCAAATGACAAGAATATAGTTCAAGAACAAAAAATTAATGTGCTTAAGGCAGAGATTGAAGGTCTCAAAGCGCTCCTGTCAGTTTCGCAGAAGAAGTGCTCAGAAGCAGAGAAAAATGCCAAAAGTCCAAAGGAGAAGAGAGAAAGAGATGATTTGTTGGTCAAGGCAGAGGAAGACAGGAGGAAGGTCGAAGATCAGCTAAAGTGGAAGAAGGAGCAGTTCAAACACCTAGAAGAAGCCCATGACAAGCTTCGAAATCAGTTCAAGGTGAGAAAGAAAGAGTATGAGCAAGAAAAGTTTACATTGCTGGATGAGATTTCTTCGCTGCAGACAAGATTAGATTCTCAGATCCGAATTACAGGAGATCTTCAAAACCGGTTACAGATGTGCAACCAAGCCTTGGCTCATGAAGAAACCCGAAGAAAGTACCTGGAAGTTGAAAATTCAGAGTTTAAAGCACGCTTTGAAAATATTTTTGCTGAATGCCAGAATGCAAAGTCACAACTGGAATGCCTGAATTCCCAGAGGGACAATGAAGTTGCAACTTTGAGACATTTATTGGGCACAAAGGAGTCATTTTATAAGGAAATGGAATATCGATCAGGAAAACTGGCGCAAGAAAATCAAGAGTTGATGACATCACTCAAAGAACTTCAGGAAGCTAGAATTCAGGAAGCTGGAAGTTCTTCTTCTCTCTCAAAACTGAAAAACAAACTCAAAAGTGTGGAGCAGATGTACAAGGAGTGTTCAGCAAATCTTAGGGCTAAAGAAGCTGAATGGAACTCTCAGCGGGAGGAAATGACCAGGAAATTAAATGATTACAGCTCTCAGTTAGAGAGCAAAGATGTCACTCTTAAAGTGCTTGAGATGGAACTTGAAGGTTATCGTTCTTCAGCTGTGCAGTTGAAATTGCAGAATGAGGAGATTTCAGTGATGTTACTACTGTTGAAGTCAGGAATGTCTGAGGCCCAACTGAAGCTTGCAAATGTTGAGGCTGAACTGGGCCTCCATGAGAAAGAGAGGGTAGAGAATCTTTCTATTCTCAGAGAGCAGCTAGAAATGAAAAATACTTCTCTGGCCAATGATCGGAGAGACATTGCAGAAGAACGTGAGAGGACAGCAATTTTATCCAGGAGGGTTGATACCTTAGGTCAACTTGAGGATAAGCATCAGCTGACGCAGAAAGAGCTCAATAGATGTAAAGAAATGCTTGATGAATCATCCAGGTATCGACTTAGGTTGAAAGAGCAAGCTTTGCAGGTGGACAATGATTCAAAAGAAAAAATAAGAGAAGTTTGTGATGCTTTAGATGTGGCAAATTCTGAAGTGGTAAAAGAACGGGAGAAGGCAGCATCTTTGTTAAGGAGAGTTGAGTCCTTGGATCTTATTGCAGGACAACGGCTCCAGATGCAGGAAGAGCTTGAGAGGTATAAAGAAAGGATCGAGGAAGCATCTAGGTATCAAACACACTTCGAAGAGAAAGCTTTGCAAATGGAAGGTGATTCCAGGAAGAAACTTGGAGAAGTTTGTGATGCTTTAGATACAGCAAAATCTGAACTGACTGAAGAACGAGAGAGAACAGCTTCTTTGATGAAGAGGGTTGAATCTTTGGATCACACTGAAGAGCAGTGGCTCCAGACAGAGGAAGAGCTTGAGAGGTATAAGGAAATGCTTAAGGAAGCATCCAGGAGTCAACGTCAGTTAGAAGAGCAAGCTGTGCATATGAAAAATGAATTTGGAGAGAAACTTCGAAAAGTTTGTGATGCTTTAGAAACTGTAAAACTTGAACTGACTGAAGAACGTGAGAGGACAGCTTCTTTAATGAAGAGGATTGAATCATCAGGTCATTTGGAAGAGCAGTGGGCCCTGAAGCAGAAAGATCTTGACAGGTACAAGCAAATGTATGAGAAGTCATCTAGGTGCCAACTTCAATTAGAAGAGCAAATTTCTCAGATTGAGAGTGACTCAAAAAGGAAACTGACAGAAGTTTGCAATGCTTTGGAAAAAGCAAATTCTGAATTGGTTGAGAAAATTTGTGAAGGACATGAAATTGAATTTGAATTGTGGATATGGAAATCTATTGCTGAACGATTAAAAGTTGACCTTGAAGAAAGCCAGGAATTGCGTAAAGAGTTGGAAACTTCTCTTCTTGCGCAAGTGCAGGCTGGAGAAACTATGAAGCAAGAGAAAGATGACCTGGTCCGTATAACCCAAGAGAAAGAGGGGAGAATAATTAACCTCCAGCAGCGGATAGTGTCACTAGAGGTAGAGCTCAAAACAAGAGAATTAGAAGCAGTGAGTTCTGCAGAGGAGAGCATTCTTCAAATCATAAGAGAACAGGACAAGATCTTAGAGGATCTTCAGAAAGAGATTTGTTTGCTGGAAGAAGAATCACTCAGAAGGGAACTGGAAGGTGCTGCATTTGCACATATAGGCACAGAGAGAAAATTTGAGCATGAGAAGGATAATCTTTTGCAGCTTGTAAAGGAGAAAGACCATAGAATAGATGGTCTCGTGCAGGTTGTGAGGTCAATGGAAGAAGATTTTAATGGCACATTGAATTCCTTTTCCTCAGAGCTTGCTGAGAAGCAGGCGCAGATTAATTTGGTCCATGAAGCTTGGGAGAAGATTGCCGGAGCTGAGATGCTGGCTAAGCTTGAAATTGAAGAGAAAAAATTAATGATTGTGGAGTTGGAGAATGACATTCATAATGTACAGGAGAAACTGTTTTCGCAAGATAAATCCCTGTCTGATTCGAAACAGCTAGCATTGACCGTTGAAGCTGAACTGGAAGCAAAGCACATGGAAATGAAGAACTTGACTGATCAGATGGAGGCAAGGCTGAGAATATCAGAGGTTTTGGTTGATGAGCTTAAGAGTGAACAGAAAAATTTGCTCGACGACATGATGAAGTTGTCCACGGAGAGGGAAATTTTGTTTGGATTCATTGGCGGCCTAGGTGATAGGATCAACGAGTTCTCCACCGAAGACGCGCAGCTGTTGGGATTCTTGGGAAGGATAGTGCAGTCTTTCGACAATAACCCTTCAGACTTTATTGGTAGTGATGAAAATTTTGACTCTCTAAAAGAGAACAAGAATAGTCTTCTTCCTTCTCCAGCAGCCAAAAAACCGGATTTGGTTATTGAAGAAAGATCACCATTTAGACAGCTCAACTAACTGCAATTTAAGAAGGAAACTATTATCAATACAGCTTGTAGTTGATGGTTTTCTTTTTCTTTTTTCATTTTTTCCTTCCCATTAACTAAGTTTTCCTGAACAACCCATGCAGTTCAAAGCATGGACTTCACTTTCCTTTTGAGCTTTGTATATGACATATTCATGCAAGTGTAAGCATTTGTATCTGCCAGTAACAATTTGCCACATATGATTCATTGTTTCATTTCGAAGAACTAGTTTCTTTTGTAATTTATCTTTAGATTTTCTCCTTTTTTTTTTTGGGAGGTGGATGGCTGTTGCTTAAGCATTAAGTAAGCATTTGGTATATTTTACAATATTACTATGATAACGTAGTTTTCGGGATAATTTTATTATTAAAATAATTTTAATATTTGTAATTTGAAATCATTTTATTTGATTAACAATGATTAGTTTATAGAAATTAAATAACATTGTGTTTAGTATTATTAAAAATTAAAAATTATTTTATTTAAAATACGAAAATAACTATAGATATTATAATAGTTACATAAATTAATAATTTTATGATTGTTCAAAGATAATAATTTGTAAAATATTAATAAGATTTAATTTATTTTATAATTAAATATAATTAAATTATTAATTAATAAATATATTTATTGATAGATAAATTTATTTTTATAATATAAATTATGTAAAAATATTTAAATTAAAAAATAAAATCAAGTTATTAAATTCATAATAAAAATAAAAAATATATTATATATAAAATATTTAAAAAATAATAAAATACAAATTATTTTAAACTTATTATAATAAATATTAATTTAAAAATAAAAAAATTTATAATATAAAATAATTATAATTTTAAGATACATTAAGATTACTATCACATAAAATACTTACTAATCATAATATATAAATTATTATATTACTTACTAAACATAATAATCTAATTATTATATATAAATTATTATAATTTAAAAAATGAGTATCTCATGATAAATACTTCCCAAGAGTTTTTGGGCTTTCGAGTATCCTTTTCGGGACACTTTTTTTTTCCTATTTTCCGGGCCAATAAATGAAAGCTTTGAATAGATTATAATCGAGGTCGAACAAGACCAACCGAGGTAGGTTTTGGAATTGGCCAATAATCTACACATTTCTTTCTTCACTTTCTCCTCCTCTCCCACGTTTCTCGCTTGCTCGCAATTTCAAAAACGGGAGCAGCCGTTATGTTTCCGGTTCTGTAATTTGGTGTTTTTTTTTGTCCGAAAGGAACGGGAAACCACGAGCCGCCACGGAAGCCAAGTTGGCAATCCACGTGGCCATATATTCACTACGTCAACGAAATAAAACTTCGCGAGTGCACTTTATTGGCGATTAGTTTAGCGGCACGGGTTAAGTCTCTCTCTCTCTCTCTCTCTCCGTCGCCTGTTCTGGGAGAAAAAATCAAGAAGAGAGTCTCCAAATTGCTGCGAAAGAATTTGTACCCAAAAAAAGAAGAAGAAATTTCTGCGAAAATCGTTTCGACGCCTGGAATTCTTCGCTCTCGTCGTTTCGTTTTCTTCAAGGTAACTATCATTCGATGGCTTTTCAATTTATGTTTATTAATGTTTTAATAAGATTCTTCATTTCCTCTCTTGGAATTTACTTGAATTTTGAATTGGTGAAAGTTTTCTTCTTTAACTTTTTTTTTCTTGATTTTATGTTATCTTGGATTATCATAATCAACTTTACGTCTCTAAGAATTAAAAATTTATATTTTTTTTCTTTTTTTTTAATTACTGCTCAAAATTATGTTATCCTGGTGGAATTTTGAAAATTTTGAAATAAAATTTCTTCTAGGGTTTCAAGCAACTTTTTATTGTTCTTATTGATTATATTATATTCTTATCTTCTGTTGCTGCATGAAACTTTTAATTTTCTTTGGCAGATTCAAGAGTTGTGTGATTTTGGATAAGTGTTCCACGTAATTGATATCGATTCGGGGTTTAAAGCTTAGCTATAATTGGAATACATTATGACCTCATGCTACTAGTCACGCCCTGCAAACGACTGGTTTCACTCCGACGATGTCTCTTTCTGGTTATTTGCAATTGTCCCATGATTTGGGACTTCGCAGGAACCAGCGATACAATAAAAAGTTTAAGGTCCAAGATTCGCCCCTCCCCGTCTAAGATAGTGTTTTGTATTCTGTTTGGCATTTTAAATTTATATATTGATATTTTCTTCTCTTTCTCTTTGTTTTCAGAGTGTATTGGGAAGGCACAAGTTTCATTTATTGAGCAACACCTTCTCATATCGTGGTTCAGTATGACTTCTATCTCTAAGACCAGTGCTTCTTTGTTTAGGATACTATTTCTCTGCTGTTAACTGTGATTATGGACATTGAATTGTCTAAAATAAGAAAAGATGTCACATGATAAGTGCATGCATATTTACGATAGCATGTTAGGATTTTTTGTTTCTTAAGTGTTCTTAGCATTCTTGCCTTGCTATTTGTGGTTTGCCTGGAATTTGGTTAATCCAAGTATATTATGGATGCATTACCTTTACGTATGGACACAAAAATCATAGCTTTTGCTTGTCAATTCAGTGTTTCAAAGTGCATGGAAACTGTCTCACTAAGTATAGTTTGTACACAAGTTTTCATGTGAGCTAGCATGTTGTCTTTAATCTTTCTATTTCAATCTCCCAATTACTCAACATTTATTATTACAGTGATTGTACCATTTTATCAGAAGATTCTGGATTTAAAGGCTAGAGTTATGTTCTGTTTTTAAATTTTTATTTATATATTACACGGTGATCCCCATAGACTCTTATGAGCTTAAACCTTTTGTTTTTTTTCTTTGTCTACACTACTGATAATATAACTGCAATTGTGCTTTGAGCTATAAACTGCTTTGTAGTCCTTTGAAAGATGGCCTGGAGATATTCTTTCAATTTAATAGCATTAGCAGAAACTTAATGTTCTTTAAATGATGTTTGAGGATTTTTTTTTTCTTCTTTTCTTTTGTCACAGTTCCTGCAACAGGATTCTTGGAGAATTCACCTCTCAGACAGTTTGTACAGGCCAATACATTCTGTTCCACATAGAAACAATGCCTTTAGGTGTCATGCTTTTCAAGCACCAGGCCCGATATGTGAACTTCCTGGCGTAAAAGCTGCATCTGTTGCATTGACAAGGTGCTCTTTTTCCCCTGTTTAGTCATCTGCTTAAATGTGCAGGCATATTTGTTTTACTGAATTTTCTGTGGTTATCTTTTCCATACAAATAAATGTGTTATCTTGTTTGTTCAGCATTTCTAGTATTAACTTTTTATTTGGATTCAAGTTCTAAAGTGTGTCTCTAAGTATTATTTAAGAGTACATTACTTTTCTCTTCTTTAGCTAACTTATTTTACATGTGGTTCCATGTTTCCATTAGGAATATATTTTCCTTAAAACACTACTGCTGCTTTTGGGTATTGTCTTTATGTTTAGTAACTAATGATCTTTATGCATTTAAGATAAGATTAAGCCCTTTGTATTATGCAGGTCATATAATAACTTACAAGGTAGTCCTCCTGTATTTAAGTTGGTTCCAGCAGTTAGTATTATAATTTTTGCCCTATGGGGTGTTGGGCCACTTATGCGACAGATTAGAAGCCTACTTCTTCATGTAGGTGCACTCCTTTAGGTTCTGCTCAATTCTGTTATTTACAGTGGTTCAACACACATCTGGCCAAATTGGGTCATATCTAATGTTCTACGATTACCTGCAGAAGAGTGATAATGGCTGGAAGAAGAGTAGAACACATTATGTTACAACTTCTTATATTCAACCTTTGCTGCTGTGGACTGGAGCAATACTCATATGCAGGTGCCAAAATCGTAGCAATTTTTAAATGCAAAAGAAGCTCTATATTTTGCTGTTATAAAATGCAAAATCTAGTTTACTGCTGTTCAATTCACGTGCATGTTATTGGTGTACTTCTTGCAGAACACTGGATCCATTAGTTCTCCCTACGGAAGCTAACCAAGTTGTTAAGCAACGTCTTTTAAATTTTGTAAGATCATTATCAACTGTGCTGGCCTTTGCATGTTGCTTATCGAGGTGAGCATGCATTCTCCTTTTTTTTTGTTTTTAAACTTTTTCCTCAAAAAATGTTTGATGAGGATGGTCTCTGGCTTTAATATGATGTAATTTAAACAGACTAGCATTGCTTTGTTGCTGGCGAGCTGATCAACAAATTTTTACCGAAATCCAGTTCTAGTTTGTTCTCTTGAAATGGGTCTCTCTGAAATAATCTAATGAAAATCGAAATAATAACCTTCAAAGTATATCAACTAAAAATTTTTTAGGAGCAAAATAGTGAGTAGTGACAACTAAAAGTTGAGAAGAGAAACATGTGTGAAGCTAGAAAAACGAGTGTAGGACTTATCTATGCCTAGTATGAAGTATGAATTGATTGTCGTAGTTGGATTTATAGTATTTCAGAATCTTGTTCTACTGAAACTGATTTCTTAATGTTGATAATGTTTTCCTCATTGTAATGCTCCATGACAGTTGTTTCCATGACCACTAAACATGGTTAAAATGCTTTTATGCAGCATGATTCAGCAAATGCAGAAATTCTTCATGGAGACTAGTGAGACCAGTGATGATACGAGAAATGTCAGTGCCATTGCTCTAACATAAGGCAATTGTATTCATTACAAATATTCATTCGATTGCTATTGTTTATTAGTAAAATCAGAAGTGCATGTGATGTGTGACTCTGATGCCTCCATCCATTACAGTAGAGAGGCTGAGGGACCTATAATACACATCAGTTCTCTTTTATCTATGTTATTTATTTACATACTTTTCTGGTTCTCATTAAGACAGCCCGAATTGCAATGTGACCCGTTTAACTAATTCATAAACTTCTCTTGCTTTTCTGGCAGATGGGTTTCCAGTTTGCAGGGAAAGCTATATACTCTGCAGTTTGGGTTGCTGCTGTGTCATTGTTCATGGAGTTGCTGGGTTTCTCTACTCAGAAGTGGTTAACTGCCGGAGGTCTAGGGACAGTTTTGCTGACTCTTGCTGGTCGTGAGGTACACCTAAATATCATTTCCATACTGATTCGTTTCAACTTATAGCTTTTCTGGAATGTACATTATTTTCCTTCACTTTACTTGACTACAATGCACAATGCTTTCTCCTTTTTAATTAAAAATACTTTATGTTAACTGCATTTCAGCAAGAATAATGTAGATGATATAGGACAGGAATGTGGGGTTGCATGAATTTCAAAAATCTGATTATTTGATGGGCAAGAACTTGTGATTGTAGGGTTTAATTGAATGAGAGAAAATGGTTAGGCTTGCAGGTTTAGAACGGAACTCAGCTTTGATGGCAAAAATCTAATAAAAGGGAAGTAACCTACCTGCCATCTGGGCTTGTGAAAGGTGTACCTGTGAGCAATGATTTATGGTTGCGATTGAAGCTCAGAAGTTGCATTGGTGTTGATTTGGTAAAGGTTGATAGGTTTAAAAGACTGATTTAGGGCTGTTTGTAAATCTTGAACAGTGCTCGAAATAAGGATAAGAGGGAGAAGAAGATAAAAATAACACTTCACACCTACAGTTGGAAATTGCTTCGTTCAATCAAAAGGTAGCATAGCTGATCATGTATCAATAATGTATGTGAAATTATCTTAAACTAATTCTTTAGCAATTTAAAGAGATTACATGCCTACTTATAGCATTTCACGCTTACTTATAGCATTCCACTTGTCCTATTCTCACAAGGACTTAGAAATAGGAAAGCGCCAAAATTTAATCTCTTAATATAATAAGAGATGGAAATCCTAAAATAAACCCTTTAGGCTCAAATCGAGAGATTTTTCAGCTAATTTGGAAATTGTTATTACCCATGAAAATAAACACCAAGAAAACAAGAAATGATATCAAACCCACAACTTTCAGCCTAAGGAAACATAAAATCAGTGCTTATTTGTTCTATCTTGTTCATATCCTAAATCAGTCCAATATCAAACAAAGATCAAAATCCAAACTTCTTTTTATTCTATCTTGACTTTTCTTGATCCCTTTGTTATCTGTACTATTATATGCTTTTTCTTAATGCTTGACATTTGTTGTATGTTGTTATAGATATTCACAAATTTTCTCTCAAGTGCAATGATTCATGCAACTCGACCTTTCATTGTGAATGAGTGGATTCAAACAAAGATTGAGGGATATGAAGTTTCTGGTACTGTTGAGGTTTGTATTTGAGCCCTGTCTCTGAATAAGTTGTTTAGAGAAAGGGGCGAGGCTCTTACTTAAAATACTGTGGTTATAGTGTTTGTATTAGATCTCAAAACTATGATTGGGTTTTAATGATGTGATTCCCTTAGTGCACTGAAAAAACAACATGCTTCGTCTGAGGATTTCTTATATGGGTCTTGATGTTTTTTCATATTCAGCATGTTGGTTGGTGGTCACCAACAATAGTAAGGGGGGAAGATCGTGAAGCAGTGCACATTCCAAACCACAAATTTACAGTAAATGTTGTGAGAAATCTCACTCAGAAAACTCATTGGCGCATTAAAACTCACCTGGCCATCAGTCACTTTGATGTCAATAAGATTAATGTGAGTTTAATGTGAGTTATCCAAGCATGTCAAAAGTTCTATTTCACCTTTGGAGACATTGAATTGCCATTTCTAACTTTTTAGATTTTTTGGGATCCCTTTTGTTTGTGCAGAATATAGTTGCCGACATGCGCAAGGTCTTGGCTAAGAATCCTCAGGTCGAGCAGCAGAGATTGCACAGAAGAGTATTTCTGGAAAATATCAATCCTGAAAATCAGGCTCTTTTGGTTCGTGTTAAACATATAACCTTAGGAAATCATTCTTTTTGTCATAACTTGTTGATTTGTTTACAGTTTTTCTGTAAGCAATGTCGAGGCACTACAAGAAGTTGCCTTGTCCAGTGTCTATTATGTTTTATGTCAATAGTACAAGGGTGTGATGTGGTTAGATACCTGTTCCATTTAAATCTAACCAACCAAAAGACATCTTCCAATTTGGTTAAAGTACTAGGTGCTTTCTTTAAAGTCAGATCATATCAACCTCTGAGTATTGAACTTTTCCTATTGCCTTTTTAAGTGCTTGTTTTTATTTACTTTTATAGCATATTGATAAAATCTACATATATTTCCTTCAAGCATTTCTGAGCATCTGTATAATCCAAGAACTGCCATTTTTAGTTTCTTTTCTCTTAAAATTTTTTTACAAGAGATATAGTAAACATATTTACGGAGTGTCCTTTTCTGGTAATGAGGAACAATACTGTTAAGCTTTCGAAGATTTACAAGACAATAAAAGAAGAAACATGACTCTTATAACTAGCAGTGAGACCTGAGATATAAGATGCACTAGTTGTTGTGTGAGCTTTGTGTCTATCATCTATATCTGATGATTTTTCTTACCCCTTTCTTTCTTATTTGATAGATATTGGTGTCCTGTTTCGTAAAGACTTCCCATTTTGAAGAGTACCTATGTGTCAAGGTAAGAGGATGTGTCTATTCTAATATATGCCTTTCAATGATGAATGTAACTTGTGCAAGTGGATTTCAGGGTGTTTGGGTGCATCAATGACAATGACAGTAGTACAGCATGCTAAGAAAAGTTATAACTTGATGTTGCCAGCATTAAATGCCGGCTAGTATGGTACTATTAATCTGATACTGATCCCTGAGAATATTAAAATTATCAATTATACAAAAAAAAAGTATCTGAAATGAATCCCTATCATATATTAGGAGAGGTATAACAAATAAATATTTAAGGGCAACTTACTCAAAGTTTTCTGTTGAATTAAGTATGCTTATATTTTACTAGAAGGCTACTTGGGATTGCATGCATAGATATTATCTTCTTTATCACAAGCAATAGTTTTTAGATTAATCTTTTGGTTTCTTTTATTTTGCTGGTCTATACCTACATTAGAGTGCTGATTGTAAACATTTATAACTTCTCTTGATTTCTTATGGAAAAGAAGCCTTTTGATTGTTAACTTATATTTCCTGTCTGTGAAAGTATCTTCCATTAAGTTTGATATATTTGAATGGATCCATTATTAGTCTCTGTGGTTGACGATGCAGGAAGCTATACTCTTGGATCTCCTTAGAGTTATCAGTTATCATGGTGCCAGGCTTGCCACACCAATTCGCACTGTGCAGAAAATATATAGTGATGCTGACTTGGAAAAAATGCCATTTGCGGACTCAATCTATAACCATGTTGGAGTGCCATCCAACAGGCCTCTGTTACTGATTGAACCCTCTTACAAGATCAATGGTGAAGATAGAACAAAAGGCCGTTCCTCACGTCCAGCTGGAGAACAAGACAGTAAAACCACAGTGCGGCCTATTGCTGACACTAAAGCAAACAACAAGGCAGGAGCAACACCAAAGCCTGACTCAAAGTCCAAAGGAACACCGTCAATTGAACTCAAAGCAGATGCCAAGATTGGAGAAAGTCCAAATTCTGAAACCAAGGAGGACTTTAAGGCTGCATTTGAATCAAAAACTGATCCCAAGGCAGATGATAAATGGACCATGAAACCACCATCAAAATCTGCCCCCAAAACAAGTTCTAATACTGCAGAAACATCTAGCCCCGACCAAGAAGTTCCGGATTCAATCTCCAATAATTTGCCCCAGAACAAAAAGGTCACTGACAAGCAACAGAATATTGCTAGGCACAGCAGCAAGTTAGATAATCCTTCAGTATCCTCACCAGAAAGTGGTATTGATAAAGCAGGCGGATTAAGAGAACCTTTCCTATCGAAACAGGAAGGTGAGAAGTTGCCAGTGCCACAGCCACCAGCCGCAAGACCTGCCTTGGAGGAAAATATAGTTCTTGGTGTTGCGTTAGATGGTTCAAAGAGAACACTACCTATCGAGGAAGGGATGACTTCATCCGCAGCAGATGCAAAAGAATTTTCTTCTGCAAGCCGGAATGGAAGCGGATCCACTACTGAGCTTAAGAAAGACGGTCAGATCCGGTCCATTCCTAGTACCCCTGACGATCAGTGATGTATTTGGAAGCTAACTATTGAACCCCCGAGCTTCTGACTTGAATTATCGAAAACTTTTTCTGACACCTAGACTGTGGAGCTGTATTTCATCAAATTGTCTCGTACTTGTATATTTTCTTCTAATCACTCTTTCATTATTAATTCTTAAAATGTAGCATCTGTTTATCTTGAAAGCTTCGGTTAATATATCCTTTTTTAATGATTGTAGACTTGATCAGTTTGAAAGGCAATTTGAGTCTGGTCTTGAATGGTTCACTATATTGAGATGTTGGCGAACAACTTGGATTTGTCAGTTCCTATTGTACTAAAATTGCTTCAACTCTATGTAAAATATGATTGATATTGTGAAGCTGGCCGGTAAAATTGAAATGTTGACTTAACTTCTAGGGCTGCAATTGTTCAGACAAGTTTCTCTGAGCGGATACCGAATGGCTGCCACTCCGTGGAGGCAGAGCGACTTTCATGCTGTCATCGGAAGTTGTCCATGCAAATGCGTCCTTTTTTTCTTGTTCTTTCCATGTCTTGATATCTCTTATGGTTAATGAATCAAGTACTCTTATGAACCACAGCTTTCAAAGTTCAAACATGGTTCCCTGGCTGAAATTTTCGTGTTATTAACCGAGATCGAGAGCTAAGCATGAAACACGTTCTGTCCATAACCATTTTCCCTACAAAACTTATTCTTTCCTCCAAGTCTCAACTATGGGCAAGAAGACATGCAGTTTGCATGTACAGAAATAAAGCAACACCTTTATCGTACATAACTCCAATTACCAGTATACTGGATTAGATATAGATATTTGACAAATATTGACACAAAAAAGAGCGACAGCTTCTTTTTGGAGCTTATTGGTACTTAAAACTCTGAGAATTTGAATTTTGATCACTAAAATTAAAAATTTTGTATTCTACCAACAGATTACGCGTCCCCGGCAGAAGAAATATGCAACAAACAAAATCGAGATCTCCACTCCAAAGTCCATAATCAATAGGATCCGCCATAAATTTGATGCTAACCACCCCAGTCTCGATATAAAAACCACTTTCATTACACTACACAATACCTACTAGGAACACTATTAACACTTTTATCTAAGGGGAGAAATGGGATCACTGCTTATTTATGATACCAATAGTTGAAGCCATAAACAATAGTTGCAGTCACAAAATCCATAGGATACAGAAGGTAGTCATACTTCCTTAAGCATACTGTAAATGACCTTTTCGCCCTTAAGCTTGGCACACACAATCAGGAGCAGGATATGTATATAAGGACTGTTTTGGTTTCCTTAACCTGAGTTGCCCCTCTCTGTTTTTATGCCCTTCCACCACTGCCTGACGGAATTCTGACCAAGTAATGTTTTTGTTGAGTAAGTGTTGGCCCAACAAAGCCATATTTGGCCTTATTGTCTTGTTGTTCTCAAAAGTTCGATGTCCCACCTGTTTGCATCATAGCAACTGTCTTCTATTAGAGTGTTGAAATGTATTATAATTAACTTAGCAGAAGACAGGAAATCACAAAATTTGTAAAAGACTGCACTTGCACAAAATTGTTTGAACATTTTCCTCGAATTAAGGTATCACCCACCTACAACCACCATCACCACCACTGCCCAAAAAGTCAATGAAGTGAGTGCCTTTATTCCACGTAATGGCTTTCAAAAATATATTCCAAATTCAACCTTTTTAAGGTAAATTTCTCTAAAAGGTTCTAAGAACTACAACTTCCCAAAATTAAATAAATTAAAAAAAAAAAAAGACTAAGCAAACACACAAACTTGGAGCACATAAGGGCACCAAAACCATTCATTGGTTAAAAAACTCAATATTCAACCATATTAGAAATGCACATTCACCATTCACTATCGATGGAGTAGCAGCCAAGCTGAAAGTACAGTAGCTATTCGTAATTCCAGGATTAGATATGTGATGCCATAATGTAGATTGCATCAAATGACATGCAGTCACGCACTATTGCTTATGAATTAGCCAGAAATACTCACCAATGCATTGTGCATATTGCCAGGAGAAGCTGAGACAAAGATGTCACTATGCATACCAACATAGTAATCAACGGCAGCTAACAAAGAAGCCTTTCCTTTTATATGGACCCTTTCCTCTGAAGAGGCAAGGCTCTTTTTGTCTTCCATCAGAGGAAAGAGCTTCCGTAGGGTCGAAATCCTAGCTTCCCCACCATATACCTGAAACAAATGGCCATTTGATGAATAAGTTGTGGAAAAAGTGAACAATATATTTGAAGAACTTGAAAATTCTTAAGACAAAGGACCTTGTGTGAGGCAAGATAAAGATGGGTACTGTTGTCAAAACCCAAACCTGCTAGCAGCAGTCCAATCTCTTCAGGAGTCAATGGGCAACGCCCCTGACTTCTCAACTCTTCATCAGTAAACTGAGAATTGAGAACCCTTCCTTGCCAAATTGTTTGTCGTTACTTAGCCAGAGCCAACTTTTCAGCTTTACCCCCACCAAAATCACAGGCTGAATGAGCAGCCATATCCTGCACATATACAAGGCAGTGAGTAAGCCAGTGGAGAAAAAATTGCAGATCACAAATGTCAATGATTAAAATGAAATGGGTCAATCACATGTTAACCAGTTCTTCCGATCTTTAAAACTTGTTAAAAAAACAAGTGGAGAAAGGATGTCACAACCACGCAGCCATATAAATTTCACAACAACATGGCCATCTCACTCTTCCCATGGATACTGCATGTATAAGTGCGCACAGACAGGGCATGGGGTCTAAAAGATGAAACACATATCTTAACAATAGAGCTTAAGGATTAAGAACAACAGAACTCAAGCATATAGAGAAGTGCAAAATTTATTGCTCTTATCGTTTAATATGCTCAACAATATTTCCAACCATAGGCTATATAAGAACAGATGCCACTTGGTCAAAATAAAAGGATCTTAACTATCTACAGTATAAGCAGGTTATACCTTATCAAACCGAAGGTGTAACACAACAAATTTCTGTGGCCTTTGTTTGTCGTAGTGATCAGTGGTCTCCATGAGATAGTTAGCGCTAAGTGCTTCACTTTCACCAGAAGGATACCTGAGGCGATGAACAATGGGCATCTCCAAGTGCTCTAATGTGTGGAACAAAAACTAGCGCTTTAAAGTTGACTTTACATCGTACTTGCTGGATCTCACTCGGCAAGTTATCAAAAGACAAATGGTGAGAGAATGGAGAAATTGCAGCAATCCCATAACTATACCAAAATAGGACATGTTTACCAGATCACGCAAATTGGCAAGTAAAAAGAACTGGGCTAAAAACACAAACACAGCAAACAGGACAGCTTACATTTTCTAATTAAATTGGAACCATTATGGTGAAATCAACATTAATTATGAATTTAACCCATCAGAAAAGCATCAAAAATTTCAAGAGCCTCATTATGCATAAAAGTGCAATATCTACCGAGGGAGATGGAGAGATCATGTCACATAGTGCATGTTTATGTCTAACGCCCCATGACAGGAACTGAGACATGATAGTACTTGATATGTTACAAGAAGTCCTCAGGCCCAAAACTTTTAAAAGCAACTAAACTATGTTCTCAAATCAAAAGGTTCAAGTTGCTGCCAACCTCAGTAGTACAGGCAAGGCATTCTCAAGATACTAGTTAGCAGATGCATGAACAGGTGCTCTTTTAATTCTTGTGGCTCGAATAGCAGTGGCATAATACTCCCTCGTGCTCCACGAGAATTCATCAGGCAGCTCTTTGACAATTAAAATGTCATCCTTCAATACATTAATAAAGTGATCCACATCAAATATATCCATGAATGAGCTGCAGGGAAAATAGTTACTTCAGAAAAAATGCCTCCTTCACATCCAGCCAAAAAAATAGACATTTCCACTTGGGACAAGAAATGGAAAGGATAATTTCCTTCCATGCAAAGTACCTTGAATTTTGCCAAACAGGATTTACTTCAAGATGCGGGATCACAAGTGTTGTATTCAGTATTTTGGCAACAGCAACAGCATCACATATCTATAAAAAAAAAAAATTGTACTTAATATCTGACACTTCCTGAACAAACAAGTGACTAAATATTTAATCAGGAGAGCTAGAATTATTGAATGTTATGTAATTATTGGCTAATTCCTACCCCCATTCTTTGCTGGTTGAGTCCCCCATCAAGAAATACCTGAAGATATACTTCAGATTTCCGTGGCAATGCTGCTCAAAATAATTGAAGAGAAAAATCCAAGAAAATTAAGTATCATGATTCAGGAAATAATAGTTTTAAATCATTAATACCACAAACTTGAGTCTCATAACTCAGAATACTAGCAATATAAAGAAACCAAAACTACAAATCTCATTGCTGATCACTCACAAGGGGCATTTACAGATTCAAAACATGGTCTCCACCCTTGGTCAGCCAAAGGAGCCCAGATATCAGACTGCTCTTTATTGGACTGAATAGGAACATAGAAGTAAGTCAAACAGCAAAATTACAAGTCAGAATACCGTCAGAAAAGGAAAATCACAACATATGCATCTGCAGGCATACACGCACAGATGCTACTTAAAAACATCTACTCACACTTTCACGTTGTGTGGCACTCCTGAGTAAAGGTAAATGTCTAGGTTTAGGAACATTCAACTCCTGTAGTAAACGTCAAAGTGCACAATTAGTCAATTTCATTCCCTAGCCCAAGCAATGCTATAACAACCAGCTAGTTGAAGTTCGTTTCCTTCCCAAAGATCAAATTATGAGCATTTATCATGCTAACACTCAGCAGTCGGCACAAATTACTACATCAATTATTTTACCTTCTTTCCTGGCCTATTGAACAAGGCTCCAATTCCATGCACAAAATCCCATTACCAATTGATTAATGTGGGAATTGTGCACCCTCCAGAGTTCAGGATGACAAAGTATTGGTGTTACTGTTACAACCTTTCCGTTTTTGTGAATTTTGTGGGAAGAGATATTTAATCAACTAAAAGAATTCGAAAACTAGAAAAGTCTAAAGAAAGTTTACAAGAATGGAAGAAAAGTTGAATTACCGGCCATCATTTTCAATTTTCCTGTTCAAGCAAATTAACAATATAATACCAAGACAAAAGTTCCAGGTTGGCATAATTTTCAATAAAGCAATCTGATTATCAGACACTTAGCTACATAAGCTTGCCACTTAAACACAAACTTCTGTCGGTAAAATAAACTTAAACTAATCCTTACTTTCCATTTTTAATAAACCGCAAACTTTCCAT